TCACCAGTTTTTTGGAGGGAGGGCAATGTTTCCCTTATCCTGAACAGTGGATGGTGAGGAAAGGTACAGGCCTGAATAACTAACTGGTTCTGCTAGGCTTTGGCTGCCCTTCTAATGGCTTTTTCTCTTCCAGTAGCCTCTAAATTGCTCACTGTTTTGTCTCCCAACTGTGAGACAGATGCCAATGCCAGAAGTAATTTACTAGAGTGCTCATTCTGCTTTTTCTGTATTTATCTTTCATGCTACATCCTACAGCTCTAACTTCAGGAATCACAGGAACTATACTTCAGGAACTATAAGTCTGCTTTAACTGAGAGAGCAACTCCAGAAAACATCTGAGGCCCTAGAGGCCAGAAGCTCGTATGAACACGTGCTGTAAGAATCTGGCAGAAAGGCCCTCTCCTTATCGAGGAAAGTGCTCTGGTTTAGCCTTTAGCCTTGCCTTTGCCCTGCTTTGAGCACCTTCAAAATCTTATTTCTACCTCAACTGTTGACTTGTTTTGTTTTGTTTCCTTTGAGTGGCTTTTTGTGCTTGCAGTCTCAAGACCCGTGAGAGATTTCCCTCTCAGGGAATAGACAGCCCTTGCCTAAGAATTAAAGCTTTTTATCTTCTAGGAAGGCCAGATAATGTTTTGATTCTATTAATTGCTTTAATCCAAAGATTTTAGCTAAAATCGCAGGCTCTGAAGGTTGCGCTGTTTCCTACCTAACTGTTTTGAGTTCAGTCTCTACTGCCAGAAACCCACCCAGGCCATGTCACGTTACATGATCTCTTCTGCTGATTGTGAGAGGAATTGATCTGCACCAGGTGACGGCAGAGTGCAGGGAGCTAAACTGCTTCTTATCTGTATTTGGCCTCTGTAACCCCAGATAATGAAGGCTATTTTTCACGGTTGGCTTCCCAGAGGGTTTCTTTCCCTGGACTCCCGTACCAGCTGTGATGAGGGTTTTCTTTCTCCCTGCAGGGGTCTTGGTTTGCATGAACTCTGAGATTTTCCCATCTGATTGCACACCATGGGCTTCATAAAGGTCCACAGTGAGCTCAATAGCCATTGCTGAATTTTGCTTTGTATAAATACAAATGCCAGAAGCTTGCCCTCTGGGGCAGAATATCAAAGTTTGGAAAGGAGCAGGTTGCCTGCTCCTGGACAGACTTTAGGAAGTTTTTTTTTTGTGTATTTTGTATGCTGTAGATTACTGCTTTCTATTTTTAGTGAAGGCTCATCTCCCATGACCTGTGAACGGGCTGATGGAAACTCCTGAAGGGGCAGGTTCTCTGTAGAGGTCCACCTGAGACAAACCTCCGGAGCTGGTTGCGTACTGAGCCACAAAGCTGCTCACCCGTACACACACACACACACGCTCTTCCTCTGCGTGCAGAGCCCGTGAGACTGGCTGGCCATCTAGCCTTGTGTTTAAATGAGAGCTCTTAAAATCTGGCTCCAGAGTTAATGGACTCCTGAGCTCTGAACATGCAGAAGGAGCAAACCTGTGCTAGGTACAGGCTGGCGCGGAGCTGCGTTCAGTCACGTTGCTGTTAGGCTCCTGGACAAGTTTGCACTTAACCGTAGGCGCTGTCACGGCCGGTTAAGTAGGGAGCGAACTATGGACCACGAGAGAGCCAAAAGCCGGATGCGCTGTGCCTTGAATGAACAGGCAGAACCGGAGCAGAGGTGCGCGCTGCGTGGTGAGCGCAGGGAACGCGCTCAGGAACGTTTCTTTTGGCCCCTTACCCAAAACTAGGAGCGGTTAGAGGTAGGCCTGTCTCAAGCACGTTGCCACGAGTTGGAGTTCGCCTAATCAGACGCGAAAGTGGTCGAGTGACGTGAGCTGAGTGAGTTACAGCGGCGCGCGTCAGAACTGGGGCGGTGCGGGCTGGCGAGCCGCCGGCCGCAGCAGTGCAGCCGGTGGGCTGCGCGCTGCCGCGCCGGGGTGATTCGCCTCCCCCTGGGGCCACGTCTGCATCTTGATTAGGATGATTCCCGTTTTCGGAGTAGAACCTTATAAGCGTTCCTGGTGAACGGTATGGACGGAGTTGTACCTGTACCTTGGGAGAATTGTGGAAACTTCTCAAGGACTTAGCTTGCTTTTTCCAAACAATTACAACAGGATTTACCCGCCTTAAAAAGGCATTGCGCAGATCTAACTTGCGTTTATGAAGCACTTTAAAATTGTTTTCTTCTGGAGTAACATACAGTATAAAAATACTGTATGTATTCAGCTAATCAGAAGGCAGTGTACTGGACAACATGTTGCTGGATCTTTTTCTTACTTTCACTTTTGGGGTAAATCTGCAGTTCAAGTTGCTATTAATTATAACTTTTGTTTTACTGGTCAAGTGGAGCGTGAAGCTTGGAAACAGATTTAGACACAGAAATTATTAGTTTGTCTCACTGGCTAACTGAGATTTTGCCAACTGGGTGTGTATATGAGGAGAGGAAAAAGATCTGAATGCCAGACTTGCATAGCTGGAAATCCTCCCAGCGGGGTCGTCGGTCCCCGCTGCCCGCACAGCTGGGTTGCGAGGAGGAGCGTGGGAGGCTGCCGGGGGAGCAGAGACCTGCCGCGGTGACCGGCGCCGCCTCCAGCTCCGCGTTCCTCTCGGGGCAGGCTGGGGTGGACGGTGGCCTTCCCTTTGGTGGCACGGTCCAAGCGTGCTAGCAGCTCGTTCCTGCTGCCCGCTCGTTGTCCGGCGTGATGTATGGCTTCTGGGCGCAGCTGAGACGGCTGATCAGCTCTCGGCTCGCCTCGGGCTGACTCGCACGGTTTTAGTTGCTTCGGAGCCGTTGCCTGGAGAACCTGCGCTGTGTTGCTGGAATAGTGCTGATGAACCTGAAACATTGCTGATTAACCTTTTGCAGAGCACACCTCTCTGAAAGCGTAGTTATGGAGCGGTGGGCCGGAGAGCACAGTAGGTGACCTGGATCCCCCTTGTCTTATCTGGCCCCCAAAGGTGGGGCAGGGAAGAAAACCACGGCTGCTCAGAGCAGACTCCGTGCAAGGGTGCACATATGTTGGCTGAAGCGCAAGTGTGAACCTGGCGTCAGCGTCGGAGCACCTTCCTTCCCCAGAAAAACGTGCGTTGTGCTGGCTGCAGGCGGCTGTGGGAGGCTGGTAAATAAGGACAAAGCTGTGGGAGAAGGAAGCTTGGAGCAAGGAAAGGGAAATCCTTGGCTTGATCGCAACCTTCGCGTCTAATATTTAGACTGAGAGCTGCTGTGCTGACAGAGATATTTAAGGCACCTTTCCCGCCGGAGCGTAGCGCTGGGGTCAGATGAGCCCGC